CAGAAAAACTGAAATGGAACTTCCAGGTGTGACAATGATGGAGAGTTCTTGAGGACTTCTTGTGGTAAAGCAACACCATGGTTGCCAAAAGAGCAATCACTCCAGTAATTCTAAAGTCCTTTGTGTTATCCAATACTTTAGTTATTAAATCAAATTCTAAAAAAATGAAAAAATAATTAAAAAACAGTATTCCAACAACATTCTTTGCCTCACACACTTCTGGAACTATTTCCAGCCTTTTCATAGGAGTTGCCCCAGGAGACGTGCCCACCAGCTTGTCCTTCCTAGAGCCAATAAACTCTGTTTCTCTGCTATATGGGTGGAGTGTCTGGGGAAAACAGTCTTCCCCCTGACTGGTCCCTCTCCTGTGAGTGCTGCTGCTGAGCCTGATGATGTGGAGGCACTGCCAGGAATGGGCAAAGAAACCTGGAGTGTGACTTTCAGCTTTTGCATGTCCAGGAAAATAGGCAGGGAGCTTGACAGATCTTATAGAGATAGATAGATAGATAGATAGATAGATAGATTTTTCAGTAATTCTAGAGTATGGTGGAAAGAGCTTGAGAAAAACAACACCAAATATAATAATTGTACAGGTATTTAGTAATGGGAAAAAGGGGAACATAAACACCACTGATGGCATTGTTGGTACCCTCACAGCAGCAAAACCAACTGCTGAGGACTGGCAGTGTAGGGCTGGCAGCATTCTGACCTGAATTGTCAGGCCTGAGGCAGGGCAGTACGTCCCATGATCCCACATTTACTGAAGGGTATGGAGAAGTGTATTCCTCGCATAGCAATGAGCACCAAGGAACATCTCTGACCTAGTGCTTTTGCCGAAAAGAATTTAAAAAACCCCTCTGCATGTATGCAGTGAGGGAAGAGGAAATGAAGGATGGAAAGAGTAAGTTATGAAACTTTTGCTTCCCTTCAGAAAGCCCTCTCAAAGGTTACAATCCACTTTGACTTCAGCACTTCAGTGAAATGCATATAAAGAGTTATGTTGTAAAACCAAGATGGACTTAAACTGAAAAAATGTTCCCATATCTCACATATGAAATTAACCCCAGTTCCACTTGACTGCACAAGGTAAAGGCTTCTCATCTTAGTCACAGGAACCATTCCCCATTGTCTCTGTAAATATTTCTGGATTGACTTACACACCAACTTCACTTTTCATAAAAAAAAAAAGAGAATGTTCTGTTAATGACATTGACTGGAAAACTAAGCAAATAGACCTTCATTTATCCAAGAGCAGAATTCAAATTCAAGATGGAAATGCAAGTTGACCTGCAAGAATCTGTTCCCTGGCAGTAAGGGGGATTTTTTAATGGGAGAAAAGCAGGGGAACACTTCATTATGGTACAAAGACAGGAAGTGAAGTAAGCACTGAAGCAGGCTTCCCTTGTAATACTAGGAAAGAGCAATTTCAATATCAGCTTTGAATAAAATCATGGCAACTTTCCCCTGCCTGGATGAGTTAGGTCATTGGCCTAACTCATGTATGAAATATTGGTCTCGTACTAGTCAGTCATTATTTAGCTTGTCTCAAGCATGTATATTGCCCCCTTGCTGGTACTTCGGCATATCAAATGACCTGGTTAATTCCCTCAGATTTGCTCTCAGAAAGCAGTTCAAATTTGAACTCAATTATCCTTCAAGTTCTCCTAAAGAAAGTTCAATAAGCATAAAATTCCCTACAACATGCTGGAGGCAGAGAGTGCAAAGGTTCTCAGAATCTGAGAGGCAAAATACTTCTCAAAACAACAACTGCCATATGAAAGTCGGTTGGGATTTTTTTTTATTTTTTATTTTTTTAACTATGTAAAAAAATAATCCCCTACAACATGAACTGGTGACACATTCTAGCTTAAGAATTCTGAATATTTACCAAATCATCTGTGAGGCTTCTGTAGCTGTCTTCACAGAACTGAGAGCCCTTGTGTCCCTTCAGAATATTGTGTTTGGATGTTTGGAGTATGGGGGATCTGCAAATCCAACCTTTTTATGTTCTGAATTCACTGTGTTATCAGTGCACAGGCAGCACTCACAACATCCCATTCTGAATGTTTTCTAGTGAATTTGATCTTGTTCTAACAAATCAGCTGGAGTGACTGTGATATACTTCCTGAAATGAGGTCACTAAAAGACATTTTAAAGGCTGGATTCCTGTGTGCCTTCTGAGTGCTCTCCATCCCCAATACCACATCCCCAAACAGCTGCCTTTAACTTGCTCTTCCTCAAAGGGAAGCTCTGGTTAAGAAGCATGAAAACCACTGCTCCAAAGCACTGGGACACTGCTTGGAGAGCTGTTCCTGAGTTCTGTGGGCTGAGTGGACCAACTGAAAAAAACTGAGAGACAAGTTGTGGCATGAGGTAAAAGACAAATTGAATAATGCCTGATGGGGGTCTCCTGAGCTGTGGTCTAGGTTGCCTTTTTCTGCCACTAACCAGTTTTGCCAGTGCTTCCATGATAGACTCTGTCTTCACTTTTTAAAGTGCTCACAGGCTCCTTGTGGATGGGATCGAATAACTGCCCTGTTCCCTTCACCTGTGAAATTTCAGAGGTGACTTGAAAAGGGCCATTGTTTCTCAGGAATGCCAGGCCTAGTCCAGGAAAGAAAGTCTTCATTTCAGCAGGAATTTGGAGTCTGCTTGAGAAGGCCTTGCAGTTAGTAGGTGAAAGCTATGGCACATTCATTAAATCTCTGAACATTTAGAGTGGCTGGGCTAGCCCTTTCTGGGTTCTTCTGCTTCCCCTGCTGAGTGCGTGGGAAGGGGAAGGAGAAGGAGAAGGAGAAGGAGAAGGAGAAGGAGAAGGAGAAGGAGAAGGAGAAGGAGAAGCAGAAGGAGAAGGAGAAGGAGAAGGAAGGTTTCACAACTGCACCACTGGGTTTGAGCTGGGATCAGCCTCCACACACAGGGTTCTCTGTCCTAAGCCTCTGGAGCACTCGTGTGCTTTTATGTGAGTAAGGCTGTGTTTAGCGAGCATTTTGAAAACATTTCCAGTGGATTATTCTTGTATTTGAGTACAAAGAACAAATACAGTGAATGTGTTCAGGTTCAGACAGATGATGCCTGCTTCAACAAATTCAAAGTCACTTCTAGGGTGAAAACTGGGAATAGAAGCTATGAGAATACTTTGGTGTTTTTAAAACCATTTGAAACATGAGCACACAGGCAGCAATATATACTGGGACTAGCTCACAATTTTGCTATCTAAATTAAATATCTTCTTGTTAAATTTCTGGGATGTTTTGTGCAGAAAGAGTTGAAAATCAGTCCATCAGAGTGGACTGATGATGCTAATAAACCTTACTAGGAGTATCTGAGTTACTGTCATGAATTCTTTAATGCATTGCCCAGTAGATGCAGAACATAAATGTGAAACACAAAGTGATAATGAATAATATTATTAAATTTGTAACCAGATGGGTAAGGGGAAGATGGGAAAAGTCTTCAAAGGGTTTTTCAACCTGTTTTTCAAAGGAAGGAAGAATCTGACCTGAATATGAACTGATGATAATAAGTACTGTGCTTAGTGATCTGAAGCACTGGAAAATTTATTTTTTGTACAAATACATTTTTTCTGTTTTGGTTTCAGACCTCATTTAATCTCCAAATGGTAACACTATTGACATTAAATACTCAGATTATAATAAACTGACTGTGACTGTTTTCTGAAAGTATGGTCCAGAATGTAATAATAGAGCTAATAAATAATTTATCTTAGAAAGCTCACGAATATAATTTATGAAAACTTGGATTTAATTTCTTTTCTTTTTCAACAGGTTTCCTGAGATCTAACTAAAAAAAAACCCAAAAAAAAAAAAAAAAAAAAAAAAAAGAAGTAGTAGCACTATGTGTCCTTAGACCCTGGTATAGATGGCACACAAAAGGAAGCTTGTCCTTTTGGGACCTGGCTCTGAATCAATTACAGACGACAGAGAAATACTCTTTTGTGGCTGCTAAAGTTCAGGAATGAAATCTGGCAGGCTTAGCCAATTCCCTAATGCAGCATCCACATTACCAACATCAAATTGGCAGCTTTTGCCTGTCCCAATGGGGACAGGGTAATGAATAGATTTAGTTAAGGTGTCCTGACTCATCTACAAAGTGCCTGGTATGTGCACCAAGGCTCTCCTGTATAACTTCCAAAAAAGTGTCATTCAAAGAAAAATGAAGTTGAGAAGGTTTGCTGGCTAGCACTGCTGTAGCACCGGACTGAGCTTCAGTCTGCTCCCACTGCCCTAGAAAAAGCTACTGTTCATTTTCCTTAGGCACCCTAAGGAAAGTACATTTCTCATAATCTATGATTTTTCACTACATTGTCAAGGAAGATAATTTCTTTATGATCTTGACACTTTCAATTTTTTTCCCCCTGTCACCCCAAAATAATTTACACCATGTCAGAAGACTGCTTGGCCTAATGGTAATTTTAGGTGATTTTCCCTGGAATGAGGCACTGTCATTCTTAAATCCCCAGGCAGTGTGCTTATGAATTTCCAGAGTGTGATACAAACACAATTTTCCTGTGAGGCTCTTCCCCATGACTGTGCAGTGAAGATTGACAAGGGATCCAAGAGCAACTACATCAGAAAGCCCAGTGAAATCCAGCTTCTACAGGTGGGATTCTTTTCACAAGTACCTCTAAATATCTACTCTTAATTTTTTTTTGTTTTAATAGAGACCATTTGTAAAATTTCTTTACATTTATTTCTAATGCAAACACAAAGAAATGGGAAAATTTTTAACTCCAATTGTATTTAATTTTTTCTATTCTCACCCATGTCCCTAGAATCCATGCCAAGAGGAGAAAAAAACCCAAACTAATAAAGTAGGGTAAAAATTTTGTCTCCTTATACACACTCTTGTGTTTAACCTTCCCATTTCCTTCATTCAGAAAAATGAAAGAGAATAAAATAACTTAGGTTAAGTTCAAGTTTCCTTGTTTATTTTGGTTGCTTCTGCAAAGATTAGTAACATTCACAGATTCATAAGGCACAGGTGATCCAGTGCAATTCAAAGATAATAAAAAACCAAAGTCATTGGAGTGATCTTTTGGACTATTTCTCCCAATATGAAATGGAACTCTGAGTTCTTGAAGAGCTTGTTTCAGCAATTCTCATCTTCAAACTATTGTAAATGTTACAATACAGAATTGTATTGGACTGGTGTCTGATATGTTAGGAACTGAGCCCATGTGCATAATTATAAATATGTATTTATGGATGTACAGTCTCCATAGGATTTGTTTGTTGCTTTCAATACTTTCAGATTAATAACTGATTTGCTGCCATGCAGAAGTCCCCCAAGGAATTACATTAGAGAATCATTTGAAATATTTGCAGAACCTCCCAAGCAGAAGATATTATGAATGCTAAATGCAGAGAGAGATATCATCCATTTTTCACTCTGGCTGTGATAAGCAATATGGAAAAAAAAGAGAGAGAAAAGAAGTCTCAATAACAAAATCCACATTGAAAAGTTAGGCACTTTGAACTTTCCCATCACCTTACCAGTGTTTCCCCACAGGCTGTCTAAAAGACAACTCAGCAATGTCTGAATGGGGCTGCACACAATGGCTCCTTCACAAGTAGGTCTTTAATTGATTACGGCTGTGTTTATAGAAGCAGAAGAGAATTTACTCAAAATGACAGATTGCCTTTAGTGTTAAAATAGTTTAGTAATGTTAATGGTAAAGGAGGTCCCCGCCACCTCCTCCTCAGCTGCATGAAGCCCTAAAGATGAGCTCTTTGTTCCTGCAGCCCCCAATCGCTTCTTGCTCTCCCTCCTCCCCTCCCCGCTTCTTTCGTGCTTCCAGAGCGGGATGCTCCTGGCTCCAGGGCCACATTCACACAGCCGGCTCCTGCGGAGGTAAGATCCTGCAAAACTGCAGATTCCATTGGAAATATGATAAACTGGAAGAACACCCAGCACAAACCTCCGGGAGCGCATCCCTGCACCCTGCCTGTGTCCCAGATCCTGCCTGTGTCCCTGCACCCTGCCCGCTCGGATACCGGGGCCAGCCCGACCCGGGAGCTGCAGTAAGCAGCTTTTCCCTGTTTATATTCCAACACCCGCAGTGACGAGGTCCCGGTGCGGAGGCTGGATGCGCTGGAAGCTCTGGATGTGCTGGATGCGCTAGAAGCTCTGGATGTGCCGGATGTGCTGGAAGGGCTGGATGTGCTGGGAGCGCCCCCGGCCCCTCCCGCGGGGTGCACGGCGCGGGGGCGGCATCTGCCGGCCAACACCGCCCCCTGGCGGCCAGCGACAGCACGGCCGCGCTCCCCCGGGAATGCCGGGCGCGCTCCCCTGGGAATGCCGAGCGCGCTCCCATTGGGAGTGCCGGGCGCGCTCCCATCGGGAATGCCGAGCGCGCTCCCCCGGGAATGCCGGGTGCGCTCCCATCGGGAATGCCGAGCGCGCTTCCCCGGGAATGCGGCCGAGCCGTGGTGATGCGAGGCTCAGCGTCGCAGCACGGGGCGGCTCTCAGAACTACGAAGTTCTTTACAGCCTAATTGCACCTGCCAAGGCCGAGGGCAAATGGCATATTTGATTTTCGAATATTAAAAAGAACTTTTTAAAATATCCCCAGCCCTGATATTTTAAACTCCCCATGAAGAAGGAGTTAACTGCCGGAGTCTCAGAGTAATTTGGTTGACAATGATGAGCTATGGAGTTCACACATCTGGTTTCTTCCTTCTCCATAAAGGAAAGATAATGATTTAAAAGTCTTCTCGTTGGTTCAGCTGAATTAGTTGAAGCATGAAGTAAGCAGAAAAAAAAAATATCCCGAACATTAGAAATGATGCTGTGTGGTTAACTCTGTATGTGGAAGGTAATGTTAATGTCATCAGACACTATATTTGATATCAAAGATACTTAAAATGAATTCTTTCTTTCACCTATGTGACTTCTAGTATCAGGAGAGAGCTATCATAAGTAAATGATGGCATTCCAAACAGACATTAATAAATCAGGTGAATACGATCAATAGCAAAATGCCCTGAAGAAGACTCAGGGTTTAATATCCCTGCCAAGTACCTTCTAAGCTCTGATTATGCTGAATGCCTCATGATTGGAGAACACATTTTTGTGAGTCTTTTTAGTGAATTTGTCTTTCCCAGATGGGAGGCTTGACTTGCACTGAATGACTCATCATACTGCCTGCTTCTATCATCATGCTGAAATATGCTGCTAAAACAAAAACCTTTTAGGGAATAGTAGTATTTCATTATAAGAACAGGAAGAAAGAAGCCATTCTCATGGGTAGTTTGGGCAGATACTAACAATGACTTTTGCTAGGACAACTTGCCCTAATGAGATCAAGCCTCCCATGAGCTGCCAGCCTCAGTGCATGAGGATGCAAACAGTGAAGTGGATGTTGCTAGTGACATGATAACTAATTTATAAACCATACCCTGAGTTTTCATACCCTGGACTCCTTAAGCTCCTTTTATATCCAATGAAGATCCCCAGAGAGGTCAAAGGAGGCAGCATTTCTTACTAAGCTTACAGAAAGGCTGTAAAACTGGCCCATGGATATAAATTTCAGTTCACTTCTCAATGACACCATTATTGCACTGCAAGAGCAACACGTGGCTATAGCACCTTCCAGCTCTGTAACTGCAGTGCCAGGAAAGCCAAGGGGAACAGTCTTTGTACACCCCTGAATTCACATGACTCTTCCAAGTCTGCTGAAAAATGGAACCTTATTCTTGTCTTTCGTCCTCCATTAGGACTGTCCTTGCATATTGTTTTCTGAAGACTCAAAACAGAATGGAACTGCTCAGATGAACCTGAAATACTGAAAATATGTCATTTTAAAAAAAGCAAGAAACAAAACCAAAACTGAAACATTTCTAGTTTGCAGTTTTGGAAGATACAGATCATCTGAGGCTGGTAAAAACACACACATATTCAATAGACATGGGAAGGCCAAAAGCAAACAGTCCTACTGCAATCTCATACAAAGTACATATTTATGCAAGAAATTTGTGACAGAAACAATATATCTCATGCAAACTCACAGAGCTTTAAATACATATTCTTTCTTTAAGCCACAGGAAATATCAGAGTTTTCAGTTCCCAGTGCAAACACATTCAGAAATTCAAAAATAACTACATGTAATATTTGCTCTTGCAGATGACACCCCTTTCAGGAGTCAACTCAAGAAAAGAGGATTAACCCTCCAGTCATCTATACAGTCCTTCCTGGTAGACTGGAAAGATCAGTAAATGAAATCTCAAGGTGAGTTTATGAGTGTGATCCCGAGTGTGAGTTAGTGGGGCTCCCTTACCATGAGTTTGGCTAATGATGAATTACTCCAGCTCTTTCTGTCTCTGAACAAATAAAGTTGCCTTTGCTCTATATCTGCTTACAATCCCTGTAGTTAACGGCCTAGAAGGGGAATCTGCCCTTTGATTTTTAAATATAGGAAAGGCTAATAAATCCTTGTGTCTAACATATAATTAACCTATGAGACTGCCTGGCATGGGCTGCTATTCTGACAGATGCAAAAGTAGATTAAAAATCACCCTCCACAGGAATAACACTTGCAATAGCTAGGACAAAACTTATAATAAGATCTGTCAATCCTGAGGCTTTGAGGAATATATTTTTTCCCTTGCACAGAGACAGGAGTGTTTGTTACAGCATTGTGTCATCTATTTGCTTGCAACTTTTCCTTTTGCACCTGTCATTAGCAGGGTGCAAAGTGGTGAACAAGATGGAACAATTAGTCTCCTCTTGTTAGACATTTCTTGCACTCTTTGGCCATTGGAAAAGTATGGCCAAGTGGAGTCAAGGAAGCACTGAAGAATTACTTGAGGCCTGTTTTAAAATGCAATGGAACTCTTATGAGTGCTTCAAATTATTACTTATTTTTGATTAATGATTAATAAATGTATTAATGAGGTGTAAATAGGTCTTGGTAATAATGAAAAAGACAAACAATTTCATTACTCTGCTCCTCAAACACGAGATAAAACTGTTCCTTTGATTTCATAGCATTATTACCAAAGCTGAAGTCCCAAAGGCAGTGACATCCTGAGCCCAGAGAAGGCTGTGGGTTTGCCCTTTGGTCATGTGGGGGTGGCTGTGCCCCTCTTCAGTCACCTAAACAGACAAAACAAGCCTCTCCTCAAGCAGAGGGAGTGCCCCAAAGATGGGGAGAAAACAAAGATAAGTGGTTTTAAATAGCTCAGAGATAATTCTGAAGCAAGAATACAGAGAATGTAATGCACTGGTTGTATAGAGTGGAGTATTAGTGTTAAATAATCAGTGAAATCTTACAGAACACATCTACTACAAAATCATACATTTGCTTCTACGAAGATGTCTCAGACATCTTCATCAGCTGAAGATGTCAGTTCACAGAATATCAAAAATAAAGAGGCTATATTGTATTCACACTTCCTAAGTGATACATGTTGTAAAGTGTGAGGTGCTTCATAATAAATGGATAGTTTTGTGAAGAGAACTTTAAAAAAAGTCATTGTTTTAATGAGGTGCTGGTGTCCTCCCTGCCCAGATGAAATCTTGTCAGGAATGGAGCAGTGCTGTGGCCCTTGCTGTTGCTCAGCCCAAACAGAGCATGAAGAGAACTACAGAAACAAGAATTTCCTCTCTCCCACTTCTGAGGCAGCAGTAGCATGGGTAAGCATTAAATGAGTGTAATGTGTGGCAATCCTGCAGAACTGCTGTGCCCACACTGACTGGAGCTCTGCCCATGGCTGGAGTGTGGTGCCAGCTGGGCAGAGCAGGAAAGCTGGGCCATAGCTGTGCTCTGGCACTGCTGAAATTCCACACATGTGGTTTGGGGTCAGAAAATACGATTATGTTAACAGCTACAAATATGATCCAGGCTAAAGAATAACTCTTGCTAATCTCTGCATCAATTCCTTAGCTGGGCACTGAGTCTGATCCAGCCCTGGTGACAGCTGCAGGACTTGTTCAGCTGACATAAATGGAATATCTTTGATGTTGGACTTAGGAGAATGGGTGGGGCTGTCATGTGTTGTTGGGAGGGACATTTTCTCATGTGGTGATTTGCATGGATTTTGGTGGCTTTTGCAAGGTACATCCAGGGATAAGAGTTTCAGTGAATCAGCACTGCTTACTGACAGCCTCTGGACATCTCAGTGTCTCAATCCTTGTGTACTGTGCCTGGCCAGTGGTCTGATATAATCCACAGTCAAAAAACAGTCAGAAAGAGGGGATGGTATGTGACGAATGTAATGTCTTTCTCTAATGCAATAGTTTTTAATTAGAGATTGCTGCCATATCTTCTATTACAACTTTCTATTGACTCAATGTTCATATTGAGTAAAATATAGGGCTTATTTACATTCTTCGTGTTATACAAACAATTTAAAGATTATCCCTGTGTCCAGGAGGCTCTACTTGCCTGCTCTTTATAAGCTCAGTTTTGCCAGGAGATTCTTGCTTCTCTATGGTATGTGCTGGAATTGATAAATCAGGTTTTACTTTGAAAAAGTGGAGAAGTCTAACTCAGGATAAACATTAAAGCAAAAACGTTACCACTTTACAGATTAAATACTCAATTCTGAACAAAAGACAAGTCAATGCACATATATACAGTCCCACTGAGATTACAATATTATCACATAACTAATTTTAAAGAGATAAGAAACCTCACTGCACCCTGGTAGACTTATTAAAGATAAGGTAAAATTTATTAGAAAAAGAAATATAAAAAAAAATGTTCATAATAAACATTTTTTGTAGGACTTCCCCAAAGTTTTATTCAATACTATCTTGTATTCATACTATCTTGATCTGTAGATAAGACTGGACATTCTAGTGAATATTCAATATTGGGAGCCTCAAGTTGAAGCTCCCTTTACATGATACTGCTGACTCATCTCTAAGCAACTCCTGCAGACTGGAACTGACTGTGAGAGGTTCTAGAAAACAATGGAAAAGGAAGTATTGCTTCAGCATATTTAAATTACATACAAGTTTTCAAAAAGTCACTAAAAGTGATGGAAGGAACTTGTTATATTTCAATGGACAGTGGATGAGGCTGAGCAGCTTCAGTCTCCCAGCCCCTGTATGGGGCTCTGCCCTGTGCAGATCCAGTGGTGGGACCACGGCCTCATTTCAGAGCTGGTCTCACAACCTGGCAAGGTGAGCAAGCTGGAGAAGAGAAGGTCTGAGAAGGGAGTGAAGATGCAAGGACTTGGTATGAACAGACCTTACAGGTCAGAGGCATTTTCCTGTTTATTTGTAAATAAGATAAACAGTGGCAGCACCAGGCTTTGCTGCCTGTCCATGGCCCTGGCTCACACTCAGTGTGCCTGTCACAAACTCACTGCTATAGCACTACTTGTCTTGCACATCTAAGGCAGTGATTTCCTGCTGTCTTGTACCTTGTGCAGATACTTGTCTCAGAGCCAGCTGCCTTAAACTGTGCTGGATTTGATGGATGAGTTTTATTTGCAGCAGCTCTTTCCAGATTGCTGAGACATCTTTGATCTTTGTTGCTATGTACCTGGTCAGCAAAAGAGAATCATCAGCAAGATGCAACTTTCTTAGCAGATTTTTAGCTGATGCTACATTTTAGAAAATGTTATCTTTTATGTATGGTTTCACTCAGATAACTGTTTCCTGATGCCTTCCTCAGTTCTCAGATGTGACGTTACTCTAGGCAAGCCCACAAACCCAATATCCTGTCAATTCTGGATGCCTGCAGCACAAAGGAAGGGAAAAACAGCTTTTTTCCTGCATGGACTAGAATATATTGTTTTACTGGATTTTTGATGCAAAAGCAGCCAAGTTCAGTGGCAATTCAATCCTATATTAAAGCAAGATAAAGACCTATTGCAAACTTCAGATGACTTGTTATCTGTAGCATGATTTTGCTGAATTACAAGAGCAGAGGCCATTTTCTGAGTGTTTTAAAAATAAATTTTACAAGTACAGCCTGTACTAGACAGTGCACAGAAGAGTGGCTTAGCTCAATCTAATGATCATGGAAAGCACAGCTGTCCAGGGTAATTGAGAAACTCCGGGAAGATTGCTCAGTCTAGTGAATGGACAGGACATTGCAGTGCTGGGGCTGATGGCTGATCACATCCCACTCCTGTACTCACCCTTTCCAGCTAAATACTTACCAGGAGGCAGAAGAGATTATCAGTAAGGTGAAAATCAAATACTGCCTGTTCTCTAGTAATGCAGCACCAACACAAGGTATAAAGCTTTCTAGACTCCTCCTTAACTCTGATTTACTGTAATACCAGCTGTAAAATAACATAGAATTACATACCATTTTTATTTCACTATTATTAGGCCTCAGTGAATTACTTTTATTTATCTCATCAATGAATGAATTTGCAGTATGCACATTCTAAGTAATAAAAGAAGTACTTTTATATATCAAACTATTTGAAAGATCTTAATTTTGGATTTACTTTTATTTAATCATACAGAAGTACAATTACTAAAACAATTCCTGTGACTCGTTTCCATATCTTGATAGCCAAGCAAACATGGCTATATAATGTGTTATATTGTACTTTAAAAATTCTATGTTTAATGGTAACATCCATAGCTGGCAAAGCCATTCCTGATGTTCCTTAGAACCACAGTGTTAAGTACCAATGACAGTTTTATTTTGCAGTACAATTCAGGAGAGAATTACTCTAGTTCAGTGATATTCACTGGAAATTTTTCTTCTTCAATGGTGAGGGATTTAAATGCACAAAAACTGTGGTTTAGGGCATGTTAATAAACAATATAAACAATATACTCAAGGAAAAAAGTACATTTCCTTAACTTGAAACCTAGAGTTGGAATTTGAAAGTTATGACTCATTCTGAGCTTTACACTGTCTGCAGTGTAGGGCACTTTCTGGTTTTCCAACTAGAGCACTTCTATAATACTAGAATAATTCAAGTCAAATAAATGGATTTAGAATGAAAAGGCATGAATTTGTCTACAGAGAGTTGGGGTATAAAGTAGAAATATAATTATCAGAGACTTTTTCCACTGGCTATTTTTCCAAAACTCAGCATTTACGGAGACTCTGTTTTGATGAAGGGAGTTTTGTTGTTTTTTTTTTTTTTTCTTGTATTGTGTGTTGTGTATGCATTGCTTAGATAGATAGATGGATAGATAAACTAAGACTACTATAAATTATAAAAATACAGCTGGAGAACCAGTAAACATGTTAGAATAAATATGTTAAAATCTGTATGGTTGCTTTCTGAAATACTAATCTTTTGAAGAGTGTTGGGATAGCTAAAAACAGTGACTATAAAAAAGTGAGACAGATATGCAACAAATATGTTGAGCTGTTGTTTATTGTCTTCAAATACAAGGTCACCAAATTAATAAGTGGATCTTAGGCACTGTTATGGACAGAATCCAAGCAACTTGCTCAATGTTTTATTATTTACTGCTCGCTATTTATTAAAGAAAACTTCCACAGAAGTGGAAGGTTACCTCATCTTTTTGCATTTGAACTGTGGGATATGTTCTCTGTCTGGGAGATGTTACAGCTTCACAGATGTCTCCCAGATGGTTCTCTGATCCAGTCATACACAGAAGTCAGGTCAGCAACTTCGGAAATAAAATTCAACTCACAGGAAATACTTATAGTTTATTCAGCATGCACCAATATGACCTTTATTAGAATTGAAGGAAAAAGAAGAGAAAATGTTTACATACTTAGAATAGAAAGCTTTTGGTGAAAATATCAGAGAAACTTTTAGTTTCACATTCCCAGGGCTTACCCAAAGTTTAAAAAAATGAAAGAAGAAATGTTTAATAGAATAATGAACTTTTTGGTAAAAAAATTAATGAAATTTTTAGTTTGCTATTCCTGAGGCCTACTCAATGTCAAAGAAATTTGACACAAAATACCTAGTATTCACATATCCTAAGTGTCTTTTTAACATATAGACACCCAACTTAGGCACTCTGCAAACCCTGCATTCAAAATGACAATAAATATTAATGTTCATAGGTATCTATTTGAGGTGTTAAAGACTAACTCCATGATCCCTAAAGCCAATTCAGGAAGAAAAGCTTCTAAAAAGTGCTCTGTGTTATAAATCTCCAGGGCAAGGAAAAGCAGCAGCATCTCAGGCACATGTTAAAGAAAGGGAAAGGATCCTGCTCTTGTGGGGTCAGCTCACAGCCAGAGCAGCAAGCAGAAACCCCATGTGGTGGGACAGTAGGAGCACTGGGCTGGCACAGGGAACACAGCAGAGCATGTTTGCTTGTAATGTTCATGGAGAGGCCACAAAAGAAAACAGATGACTGAAACTTGCACTTGTATGCAGTTCCAGTTACTAGTGTCATCTTTCCAGCAGTGTCATTTGATATGTGCTCCATTTTTTAGCTCCTTTGAAGAATTCCTGCTGCACACCAAATTCATTTTAAATTGCCATGTGGGGTACTTATTTGTGCCAAATGTAACAATTAGTTATCAAGTAGATTTTCATATCCTGAAGGTAGATGGTACATTTTAAAGGTTTTACAGAATGCTGAGGTCACTGTGCTTGTGTCCTCTTGGTGTCAGAGCCCTCAAGGCACCAATAAGCTTTAAGGGCTGTGACCAGCCTCAGCTGGAGCCTCCACTCACCCGCCTGTCCATAGGCCCAGGGGCTGTTTTTAAGCTGAGCTTTGGC